TTAGTAGTAGTAGCAGCAGCAGTAGTTAGTAGTAGTAGCAGCAGCAGTAGTTAGTAGTAGTTAGTAGTAGTAGCAGCAGTAGTAGTTAGTAGTAGTAGCTGCAGTGGTAGTTAACCACCACAACAACAGCAATAAATCATATGTACATGTTTTCAAGGCAGCAAGGTGGCTCAGTGGGTAGAACACAGGGCCTGGAGGCAGGAAGGCTTATCTTTCTGAGTTAAAATCTGGCCTCAGACACTTCCTACCTATGTTACTCTGGGCAAGTCACTTAATTCTGTTTGCTTCGGTTTCTTCATCTGTAAAATGAGCTGATGGCAAACCACTCCCGTATCTGTGCCAACAAAACCCCAAATGGGGTTATAAAGAGTAGGACAAGACTGAAACAACTGAACAACAACAAAAGTAGCAGCAGCAATAACTCTCATGTAGATCCTGTCGGGTGGATATTAAAAATATCACCTCCATTTTACAAACAGGAAACAGAGACGTGTTTTATGGATTTCACAGACTGAGGAAAGTCTAGTCCAACCTGCTTATTTGGTTGCTTGTCTGGAGGCCGGGTCTCCCTATCTCACCTAGGCTGGAAGTCCAAATGGATTGGCCCGGAAACTTTGCACTCCACGTCCAATCTGTGCCAGTTCACCCCTCCTTAGACACCCTGGCATTCCCCACCCCCCAATGTTCCCCCACTCCTAGGGGCTCGCCATATTAGCACCAGACAGCTCAGGCACCCAATTGGCTTTAGCCCTATTGCAGCTGAGAACCAGTAAGCTCAAGTGATTCCCCCAGCCTCAGCCTCCCTCCTAGCAGGGATGATAGGCATGCACTATTACACCTGGTTTCTCTGCCCCACCTTTACTCCCTCATTTTATGGAAGAAAAAAACTGAAGGCTAGTCATAATGTTAGTGAACAAATGAATGAATGAATGATAAAGCATTTATTAATTTATTAGGGTTATACTATACTGCCTCTCAATTATTTTGTGACCTATTTTAACAGTATGTAAAGGATCTAGGAGCCCCAAACTGCATACCTTATGGAGTGTTCAATTGTACTCTGCCTCCCCCCCCACCCCCAACCTCAGCCACTGTCTTTCCCTGAAGCTACTTGTAGGAATCCAGGCTTAGTCACCAGAAATCGAACCTTCAGAGTAGCCTCCTCCTGACTATCTTTGCTTTTCTCAAATCTTTCAAAGACAGCTTTGGCTTTTACCTGCATAGCTAGTTCAGCTTTGCCCAAAGATGGGCTGATCCTTCCTCTAAATTAGTATCACTTTTAATCAGAATTTCCAGGACTGGTAATTAAATAGGACCCAAAATCCTTCCTGCTGGAGGTGCTAACTTAATTTTAATCTTTACTTTGTTGTTTTTTTCTTCCTTGACTTCCTCAAAGCCTCCTTACTCTTCAATCCAACTTGGCAAAGTTTCATTAAACACTTATTATGTGGAAGGCTCTTTGCTAGGGGATAAGACACAAAGAACCAAAATGAAATTATCCCTGCCTTTGAAGGTGCTTAATTCCACCAAGGAACATAATGTGTACCCTGACAAGTAAATAGAAAATATAGACAAAATGATCTTAAGGAGAGAGTGCTAACCGCAGGGGAACACAAAAAACTTTATGTAGGCTGCAGTACTTGAAAACACGGTTTTAAAGGAAGTTGGGGAGTCTCTGTAGCAGAGGTGAAGAGGGAGGGAAATCCAGGCACTGACAAGTGAGGAACGAGGAACCACCTGTTCAAAGGCTCTGAGAGGAAGCATTGATCAGGCCTGTTTTTCTGGAGTGATGAGTGCGTCAAGAGGAATATTCTAAATAAGACTAGAAAGGTGGGTGGGGAGCCAGAGAGTAGGAACATTTGAAAGCCAGGCTGATGATTTTTTTTTTCAATGCATCATCCTAGAGGCCATAGGGAGCTATTGAAAGTTTCTGAATGGGAGTGCTGACCAGATCTGTATTCTAGGAATAACAATTTGGCAGCTTCATTCTCCAGTTAATTGATCCAGTTAATTGAAGGCTTACTCCAGTAAGCCTTCAGCAGTATAGCCTGTTGGAAAGAGCGTAGGAGACCTCGCTTTCAATCCTGGTCTTCCCAGCTAATTAATTGTGAACTTTTGAACAAATCACTGCACCTCTGTGTAGGTAATTTTTCTAATTTGTCTGGTGGGATAATACCATCTTTGTTACCTCACATGGGTCTTCTGAAAATAATCTGAAATGATTGCTCTGAAAACACAAAGTGCTGTATGAATTCTTAATTGTTCCCCTGTCCAATGTTTTAAACAGATGACACTGAAGGGAAGATTACTTGCTAATTTTTTCATTGATAATATAAATAAATGAGGCATCCCTCATGAGAAAAGGGTCATTAATAATAATAATAATTGTCAAGATTTATATAGCATTTTACATCTATTATCTCATGTTACATTCAGAACAACTGTGGGAGATAAGCACTATTATTCCCATTTTACAGATGAGGAAACTGAGGTTAGGAGTTCAGAAACTTGCCCAGAGTTGCACAGCTAGTAAGTGTATGAAGACAGGATACTGAGGTTTTCCCCACTACAGGTCCAGTAGTATCCAGTGTGCCACCTAGCTGCCTCTAAGGCTAGCAACGAGGCTAACCTGAGTGCTAGTTCTGTATCTGCTACTAACTTACTCTCTTATTTAATTCTACCTGTGAATGATGGGCCTAGAGAGATTTCCAAGGTTCCTTATTGCTCAGACATTCTAAGATGCTGTTTTCCTCCACTCCTTATCGGCAGCCCTTGGGCCAAGGTTTGGCCAACATGCTAGATTTTGCCTTCTAATGACTCCCTGGGTACTCATTCCTACAAGGAAGGTTTAGCTCCAGAAGATCATGGGTGGCACACCCACCTTCATCCCTGGAGGATGTGTTATTCACCCAAAAGCTGCTGTTTTCTCTCCCTCACCCACAAGTCAACACTGCTAAGAATTTTGTTTGATTCTGCTCTTAGAAAAATCCCCACCCTGTATCCTTAGAGATGGAGGTTGGATGTTGAGTTGGCTCTGCTGGCAGAGACCCAAACCGTGCTTTCAGATTTCTTAGCAATAATTATAGTATTTATAAAGCCCTTTACGTTTACAAGGCACTTTCTAATTATCATGCATTTTTGTCATTATTGTCCCCATCCTGCTGAAGAGGAAATGGGCTTAGGGAGATGATGTAACTTCCAAGGTCATACAAATGGTAATTACCACCATCACCACCAGCACCATTACTACTACTATTACTAGTACTACTACTACCATCAGCACCACCACTACCACCACTACCACTATTGCTATCACTAGTACTTCTACCACTACCGCCTCTGGTGCTATCACTACTTCACCCACTACTACTTCTACCATTACCACCACCACCACTACTACCACTATTACTACTACTACTACTACTACTACCACTTCTAGCATTTATATAGCAATTTAAAGTTTGCAGTGCACTTTACAAAAATCTCATTTTATCCTCATAACAATCCTGGGAAGTAAGTGCTATTATTATTCTCATTTTACAGATGAGGAAATTGAGGCTGAGAGAGGTTAAGTACGTTGCCCAAGGTCACACAGCTAAGTAAATATCTGAAACTGGATTTGAACTCAGGTTTTCATGTCTCCAAGTCCAGCACCCTATGCACCATGGCACCACCTAGCAGTGTCAGTGTTGTTGTTATAGCATTTAGAGAGTTCTATAACTATTCAACAAGTGTTTCTTGACAGTGAATTTTCTCTTCTTTCCCTTCTTTACTTTGATATGTGAACTGATTTCACTGCTCCTTTCTAATGTCCTTTGGGCAGTGCAGCCAGCTCACTTCTTTCCTGAAGGGCAAAGGAACTGAGTCTGTTTTTCGCTCTGCCGCTTGTTCACTTTTTCAGGAGGGCCTGTCATGAGAGGACGTGGCTCCCATTGAGAAAGTTGATTTCTTAATCATCAAAGTCATGATCAGACAGGCAGTTGTCTCTTAACAAAATTACGGCAAAGGTAGCCCAATCTTGTTTTGTTTTGTTTTGGTAGCCATCCCTTTGAAGTGTATTACTTTGAGAAAATGGAAAGCTTTTCAGTTGCTACCAAGGCAGAAATTTTCAAAATTAGATTTCTAGGGGTGATTTTAGAACACCATAGACATTTCTTCTTCTTCTTCTTCTTCTACTTCTCCTCCTGTTCCTCTTCTTCCTCTTCTTCCTCTTCCAAACTAATTTTCCCATACCATGCTTTTCCTGTCTTCTTTGTCTATTAATTTCCTTTCTTTCAGCACCCTGGACAACTTAAAACATATTTTAATCAAACACTTTTAAATAAGTAAAAAGGGTTTTTTAATTAAAAAAAAAATCTCCACAAATCCTTTTGCTTATGGAGCCCAGCAACAGGCCTAGGTCATACTTTTGGGTTTTACATGAAAGTAATTTTCTGATCTCCTTCCTCTGCTCTATTGAACCCTCCATTGCAACAAAGAAAATAAACAAATCAATATGTGCAATAATTGTGACAACGTATGCAACATTTGGTTTTTAACACCATTCAAATAGCCGTGCCTGCCATGTGCTAGGTGCTGAAAAGAAGGGAACAATGTGTCATTGTCAGGCAGTCTCTTAATTGCCAGATTGGGTGGCTTTTTCTCATTCTTCATCTTCCTTGACCTGTCTACTACATTTGGCAGTTGATCACCCTCTCCTAGATATTCTTCTCTCTGGATTTTCAGGATTCTCTCTTTCCCAGTTCTCCTCCTATCTGCCTGCCTATTTTTTTCCCTCTTTTTCTTTTGTTAGATCATCCTTATCATGACTTCTAACCACTGGTGTTCCCTAAACCTCTGTCCCAGACCCTTTTCTCCCTATATATTCTCTCGGTCAGCTATCCACCTCCAGAAACAGAGCTGATGGGCTCAGAGTACAGACTAAAGCATATTTTCTCCTATTTCTTGCTTTTTTTTTCTTGGAATATGGTCCATGGAATATGGTCCATTTGTTTTGCATGTCTGTACATATTGTAATAGATTTTATTTATCTTTCCATTTCAATGGGTGGGGAACAGAAGGGGGAAAGCATTTAGAATGGAAATTAAAATAAAACTGAATTTTTTAAAAATAGAGGGTGATTGTTTCTTTTCTTTTTTTTTGTAATTGTATCCCCAACACTTTGCATAGTACCTGAGATTAAGATTTGACATTACAGTTAATTAGTCTGATTTCATTTGAGAATTACTTTCCTCTATTTACTGTAGTGATTTTGTGTATTATACTTGTTCTGCTTGACTTTAAATCTATTCGTACAAGTCTTCCCATGTTTCTCTGAATAGCCATCATTTCTTAGAATAGACGCCCCATTGAGGACTTCCTTCTATGCATCTGCATTTCATATTTCTTCTAGGGGTTAAACCCCATCTGGACTCTTTCTTGGATTCTGGATTTTTATTTTGACTGAACAATTAGAACTCAAAACAAAATCAACATTTTTCCCCCATTCCATTCATACTTCAAAATTTGTTCAACCATCTGCCAATCAATAGTTTTACAGTTTGTTGTCAGTTTTTTACCATAATGAAAAGTGCTGCTATGAATATTTTTGTTGTGTCTGAGGCCTTTCTTTCTGCCTTTGACCTCCTTCTTCAGGGCGTGTGCCTGGTAGTGCCAGGATTTGTTCTGGGAAGTTTGGATTCAGTCAAAGGGCTGTACTTGAGGACCACATGTGAGGTCACAGGTTCCCCACCCTTGGTAACCCCTTCTTGCCTCCGCTCTTCCCTTTCCCCTCTCCTATCTACAACAAGGAAGAACTAACATTGTCTCACTTTCTTGTCAGGGCATTCTCCTAGAGCACCGAGAGAAAGAGTTTGGAGATAAAGTCGACCCTGCCTCTGTTCTGGAAGCTGCCAAAAAGATAAAGCCACATACTTCAGCCTCCGAGGGAAAATGATCAAATGTAACAACTGACCTTGGGGGAAAACTAGGAAGATGAGACTGTGATTACATGACATCAGCTTCACAAGTCCCACGGAGGACTTTCTCATTTATCTCCATCTGCATTACGTATCTCTCCTAGGGATGAAACCCCATCTGGCCTAATTCTTGGATTCTGGGATTTTTATTTTAGCTGAACAATTAGGATTCAAAACAAGATCAGTTTTTTTTCCTTTTCTTTTCTCTTCTTTTCTGTTCTCTCTCTCTCTCTCTCTTTCTTTTTTCCTTCCCTAAGCAGGTTAGTCAGTGCTTTTTCACTGAGGACTGAGAGAAATGTGAGGTTTGCCTTTCTGGGCTATTCATCACAGCTCACCTCACTCACATTTGAAGCACCTTGGAGATTTGTGGAGATTGTGGAGATTTGTGCAAAGTGTTTCTCTCTCAATGCCCCAATGAAGCAAGCAGTGTAAGGATTTGATATGAGAGGAGACAGAGGTGGAGGTTAAATGACTTGCCTTGGATCTAATAGCCCCAAAAAGAGTCAGGATAGAATGAAAAGAGCATTGAATTCAGCCTCAAGAGTCCTTGGTTTGAATCCTGGCCCTGACATCTATCAGCTCTTTGGCAAGCCACTTAATCTCTATGAGACTTAGTTTCCTCCTTTGTTTATGGTATTTAGTGATAATAACAATAGATATGGCAAAATGAATAGAGTGCTGCATTGTTAACAAAGACCAGTGTTCAAATCTTGCCTCTGATACTGTGTGATGATACATAAGTAATAACTCCTCTGATCCTCAATTTCCATGTCTGTTAAAAGGAAATAATGACACCTATAGTGACAGGCAACATGGCATCATGGATAAAGGGGTGGCTCAGAGTCAAGAATGAAAGGATGGATAGATGAATGAATGAGCATTTATTTGGAGCTTACTATGTGCCAACCACTGTTCTAAGTAGAGGAAATACAAAGAGAAAAAATGATATAATCCTTGCTCTCCAGGAAATAAACGCACCTAAGAAAGTGTAGCTGGAGGGCCTAAGATTGAAGCTGAGGGTAGGATGGCAAGATCACGGACTCCCCTGGTTACAGTGATGGGTCAGATGACAAGGTTGGGGGTGTGCAGGGAGTAGCAGCGGGAAGACCTGAGTTCCAGAACTGCTTCTAGCACCCAGTGGCTGTAGGACCATAGGCAAGTCACTTAACCTTCTGGTACCCCCAAGCAACCGTTTGATACTATATATTGTCAAGAATGGGTAAATCTCCATTTGGGGAGATGACTGCTCACCAGGACCCCCTACACTGATGAAATCAAGAATCTGGTTAAAAAAAAGACAAACCCTCTAGTACCAATTTCAAATAAGAAAATGCATGTGAGCTGCTCTGGAAACTATAAAGCACTGTGTGAATGTCAGCTGTTCTCATTACCTATTCCACAGATTTGTTGCCTTATAAACCTTTAAACTATATATAAATGTGAATTACTGTTCATTGGAACTGGGACTTGAACTCAGGTCCTCTGATACCAAATCCAATGCCCTTTCCACTATGTCATGTTGCCCCTCTGACATGTATAATTTTTGGAGTGATATTCTTGGACATAATTCATGTGGAAGACTTTTCATGGCTTTTTTTTTAACTCCTTCAGGTACCCTGAGAGCTTGGTGCATTTCACCTTTAGGCTGGAAGATTGAGGTTTTCACTTGTGCATGTGGGATAATGTGGGCTCTCCAGGGATGGACTGTGTGTGTCTATCCACACAAGGACTAGACCAGCCACGTTCGGAGGGGCCCATGAAACAGCCTGCTGAGTTGTGGAGAAAATGCAGTCTGCACTGATGAAATAATGAATCTTTGTGTGTGAGTGTGTTGTTATGATTTTATATAAATAGAGATATCTCTTGTTTTATGGAACAGAAGTGTACCAGCAAAACTGGCTTTTTCCCCACCATATCTTCTGACTCTATTGATTTTTAATATATTATTGGAAGCTTGTCCTACTGGAAAATGTCTTGGTACCTGGCTAAAATAAAATCATACTTAAGAAAACAGTAGGTTTTTGTGTATTTTTGAAAAGTAAAAAACTTTCTCATAAAACATTAGTAGAAAAAAAACAATGTGTTTACTCCCCAAGAAGTCACTATCAAAAATGTCAAAAGTGAAAATAATAGTGTGTTGATCAGATGCTCCAACAGTCCACTGGAGAAGTTGGAAGCCCTCACTTGGGTCTAATCTTGTAAGTGGTAATTTGTTAACCTCCTTGAGCCTGTACCTTATCCATCAAATGGAGTGGTGAATAACAGCAGTACTTGACATAATGCCTAGCACATAATAGGTGTTTAATAAATGCTTCTAGACTTGACCTGCCCTAATGACCTCAATTCGATATATTTGAACAAATATGTATGGAGCACCAACTCTACCCGTGCAATGTGCTGGGTGCGATAGGTTGATGTCAAGGTGAGTAAAACACAGCCTTTGTCCTCAAGGTGTTTATTGTTTAGGAAGAGATTTAGAGAAGGACTCAGTTAACTATGAAATAAGGATGTGAGATAAGAATTACAAAATCCCCCAGTGGTTAAGAGGAGGGAAATCTTTGGATCATAGATTTAGAGCTGGAAGGGACGTCTGAGGAAATCAAGTACATCCCTGTCATTTGTCTGATAAAGAAACTGAGGGTCAGAGAAGTGATTCACCCGAAGTCTCAGCTAATAAATGAAAGAGACAGGATTTGAATGTACATAGGTCCTCTTTCCTCTGTACCAGGCTTCGAAGATCCAGAAAGGCTCAGTGAGGGAGAAAACATTTCTAGAATTAGAGAGTCTCAGAATGGGAAGGGACTTTGTGGGGCCTAATCCACTCCTGTGCCTGATGCATGAATCATTTCCATACCTTCCCCAACAAGCCATTGTCCAGCTTTTACTTAAACATCTCTAGTGGTAAAGAGTTCTTTACTTCCTAAGGCACCCCATACCATTTTTAGACCATTCTAATAATTAGAATGGCCTATATGAAGCTGAAAACAATCTTCCCTATAACTTCCACCTATTAGTCCTGGTTTTTCATTCTAGAACTTCTCAGAACAAGTGTAGACTCTCTTCTTAAGGATAATCTTTCAGGTGTTTGAAGACAGTGATCATAGCTTCCCTCAATTTTCTCTTTCCAAAGATAATCATCTCAGTTCCTTATATCAGTTAACTAAAACTTTTAAGTCTTTTTGGTTATAATATATTTTCATTGAAGGATGGGTAATGTTTCAACAGTCATGATAACAGCTGGAGGGACAAGACATTTGCAGAAAGATTGGTTGGGGTCATATAGTAGAGGGCCTTGAATGACGGGTTGAGGAATTTGTTAGGTAATAAAGAGATGTTGAAGAAGATTTGAGCAGGAGAGGATGCAGTGATAAAAGCAGTGCTTTAGAATGAATAACATGGAAGTAGTATGCGAGATAAATTTGAAAAGGACAAGATTAGTGGTGGGAAGACAGTGGGATTACTGAAATAGTATAGGTCTGGTCTGTCTGTCTTGCTTATAGTTATATCTACTGCATTTAGTACAATGGCTTATGCAGAAAAGTGTTTAATAAATGCTGCATAAATAAGTAAATAAATAAATAAATGCTCTGGTAATGAGTTTGCTTTTTTTCTTTTTTTGTGTGTGAGGCAATCAGGATTAAGTGACTTGCCTAGGGTCACACTGCTATTAAGTGTCAAGTGTCTCAGGCTAGATTTGAATTCAGGTCTGACTCCAAGGCCGGAGCTCTATCCACTGCGCCATCTAGCTGCCCCACTTTGAACTTAGACAGTGGCAGTAGGAATAGAAAGGAGGAGCCTTCCAAGATATTGAGGAGATTATAGGACTTGATCACTGGTCAACTTTACAATATGGTCAAAATACAGAGAGAGAAGAAGCAAAATGAGCAGGGAGAAGTTAAAGCTCATGGCTTTAGGAGAGAGAGGGCTGGACTTGGAATCAGAACAGGGTTCAAATACTCAGCCATTTATTAGATGTATGACCATTGACAATTCATTTCAACAAAATAAGTATCATGTACTTACTACATGCAAGGCATGACAGTTTCTGCTCTCAGTGAGTTTATATTCTATTGGGGTAATCTACTGTACATTGATTCCTCACTTGAGAGAATAGCCCAAGGCCATTCTTCTAGTATTCTTTCTAAAATCCCTAGAAAGATTTTTCTCTTATCCCGTAAATGTTACTCATCCTTTGAATTTTGCTTTCATTCCTAAAACTGATCAGGAAATTCTTCTCTCTTTTCCCAATAATTAAATGATAGATTCTCTCTAGGCTCAGATGGCCCCATGGCACCTGGCATCATAGATCGGACCCACCATATCCCCTTTGTCATCTAACCTTAAATAAATTAAGGAATATTCAACTCTCACGCTCTCATCCCCCTCAATTATTGCATTCAAAGATTCCAAATTGTAGATCAGGAAGCAGAGATACCAGATAATACCCTGTTCGCCACCAATCACAATCCTGGAACCCACAAAAAGGAGGGAATATTTCTCACATCAGAGATGGAATTTTCCTTACACAAAAAGGGAAAGCGAAAAAAAAAATTAAAAAAACAAATTAAAAAAAAAAGGGAAAGCGGAAGCTGGGAAGCCATCTTGGGATGAGCTGATATGTTACTCCAAATTGAATAACTCAAATACAATCTCAGTGTGAACACAGATTTAGAGGCCTCTAGTATCCTACTCCTATCTCCTAGACAACTGCAAAAAATAGTCTTTAATACATTCCTTTTGGATGCAAAAGTCTTGTGGGTAGACTTCCTTTTTCCCTCCCTATTTGTAGAGGCAATCCTTAGATCCACATAATCCCTCGTTTGGAGTTGGAGAAACTAATCCAGTCTCCTCCTTATTTTAAAACTCTCGTCCAAGGCTCCCTCATTCCAGTTTCTGCAGTTAGTGGCCCTAATTTAGAGAAATATACTTGGAAATAAGAATAACATAAAAGCAAAAGAGATCAATAAAAATGATAAATTTCCTAAAAGAACCAGATGAGCTATTGCAAATAGAAATACTTGGTAAACTAAAAATGCTATAGAAAATTGAGGGATTATTGTTACTGTGAAGGCCCTGGAGAGAAGCAGAGATAGGAAGAGGGGGCTTTATATCTTGCCTCTGGCGCATGCTGGGTATGTGACCATAAGAGGTTTACTTCACCTGTGGCTTTGGCAGCTCTCTAAAACTATAGATTGAAAGGAAGGTGCCTGCCTGCATTGGTGGAGAGAATTCCCTCTTCTGGAAGTTTCTTTTAACCAATGTAATCATAAGTCCAGTCCCTGTTCTGCCACATGTATTTCTTTCCACTGTAGAGGCAGCCTTCTCTGTAGTTTTAACAATTTAGCAAAGTTTTCCATGATCATCAAGCCATTATCTCACTTCAGAATTTACGCAGGTCTTTTCTATTTGGTTTTTTTTTCTTTCCTTTTTCTTTTCTTTTCTTTTTCTTTTCCTATCACTTGAATTTCTCAGTTTCTTCTCGCAAGACAGAAAGACAGATCTCCCCTGTAGAGCTAATCAGAACAAGTTTAACCTTTGTTCCATACAAGTTTTTTTGGATAGTTGAAGACACTGATTACATTCAGGTCTTT